TTGAAGAACAAGAGAAGGGAAGGAAGAGAATGACAACCAACCAAGCGGTCGGTTAGGAGGTCGGTTGAGTCGATCCCGAGAGCTTATGTCCGAGATCAACCGACCGATCAATCGATCGGTTGAGTTTCCATCACAGGACAACCGACCGTTCGCTCGGTTGAGAGGTTGGTTGCCACATACCCGAGAGCTTCTGTCCGAGATCAACCGACCGATCAACCGATCGGTTGAGTTTCCATCACATGACAACCGACCGTTCGCTCGGTTGAGAGGTCGGTTGCCACATACCCGAGAGCATCTGTCCAAGAGCAATCGACTGATCAATCGATCGGTTGGGTTCAGCGAGTCAACCGACCGACCGGTCGATTGGTAGGTCGGCTGAAGGTTATAAAATTGCAAAAATCCGGTTTGTCCCGGTTATCTCCGGTTTGTTTTGGTTTAATGTCATGTTTTCTATAAATACTCTAATCCCAATTGGGAATGGGGGATGCTATGTTTTAAGAATTTTTCTTGGATTTTGTATTTGAATCTTCAAGTTTTAATATAAGTATTTCTTGCTTTTCTTAATCTACAATCTCTAATCATGATTTCACAAAGATCAAACACATTACTTTGTGCTTTCATGACCATGAGTGATTAGTCATTTTGAATCTTTGGGTTAGGTAGATTAGGAGAATTTTGGAGTTGAGTTATGGAGTTTAGGATTAGATTGTCCAAGATCCTTGCTTATTGGTTGCTAATAAGGCTAAATCAACTTTGTTAATGTTGATTTATAGCTTAGGAATTTCATGCCCGGAAGGTGTTCGATGAAATTCCCGAACCAAAACTTTTAAGTGCTTTACACTCCTTGCCATTTGAAAATGTTGATTAGGATGTTTAGTGGCTAGATAGACTTGTTATTAATGCTTGTTGATCATTTAATTGCCTTTGGAAGAAGTTGATGATTATTTGATTAGTAAAGTGATTATTGTCATGGAAATGGATTAGTCTAGTTTAGTGTCTATGGGCTAAGGATTAATGCTTGTTTGAAGTTGTTAGCTCCATAATCAGCTTCTTTATCGCTCCTAGTCAATTACCTTAACCCGAGGATTCATCTTTAATTATTGCTTAGTAATTGTCTTTTCCCGCTTTGTTTCAATTCGAATCTTGTTAGTCTTTTGATTATTGCTTTCTTTCATCTTATTTTGCATTGCTTGCTTTAAATGCATTGTTAGTTACATTTAGAAATCAAAACTCATCTCTTATTAAGCTTAGATTAAACAAATTTGTGTATTCTTGGTGTGTTAATTAATTGCTCCTTGAGGTTCGATAATTTAATTGATCGGGTAAAAATTGCTACATCAATTTGGCGCCGCTGCCGGGGAGCAATTTCAATTAGCCATTAGGATTTCATTTTTGCTTGAGACTAAGCCATTTACTTTTCGCACATATGATTAGATTTACACATCTAATTGAGATGATGAGCTCTCTTTGGTTTGTCGTTACTAACTTGTCTTCTTTGATTCTCTTGTGCTTTCGAAGGTACTCAAATCAAAATAAGAAGAATGGAAAGGCAAGGTCATTTAAGGTGTTGGATGTGGACATTCGTACTAACACTATTCAAGCTCCACAACCTCAAGATTTGAGAGTAAATCCAACTTATGCTCGAGAGGAGACAACCACAATAGGAAGCTTTGATGTTCCTCATTGTCATGAGTCAAGATATGGAATCCGACCTCCTCCAATAGAAGCCAATGCTTATGAAATCAAGCCAAGTTTGATTCGATTGATTCAAGGCTCTCAATTCTTGGGACTAGCTATGGAGAATCCATATGATCATTTGGACTCCTTTGAGAGGTTGTGTAGCACATTTAGGATTGGAGGTGTGCCCGATGATAGTATCAAGCTCATTTTGTTTCCATTTTCTCTTGGAGAAAAAGCAAGCCGATGGGAGAGAGCAATACAATCACATTTGATCAACTCTTGGGATGATTGTAAGAGGATATTCCTTCTCAAGTTCTACTCTAAGCAAAGAACGGCCAAAGTGAGGAAGGATATAATGGGCTTTGAGCAAGGTACCAATGAAAGTTTCTATGAAGCGTGGGGAAGACTTAAGGGATATACTCGAGATTGTCCTCATCATGGATTCAACAAGGAAGCTATCCTTAGTATTTTATATAGGGGAGTTAGTAAGGAGCTAAAATGGAGATTGGACGTGGCTAGCAGTGGAAGTTTTGTAAATCTCACTATCGAACAAGGAGAGTTACTTGTTGAGAATTTGGCGGAAAGCAATCAAAGGTGCAATGAGATATGTGATCAATCGTCTCTAGAGATACCACAAGACGACCACACATGGAGATATTCACAAGAGAGATTATGCCAAGTTCAACAAGAGCAAGGATTTCAACCAAGTCCTCAATTCACAAACCAAGGACAATCTTATCTTCAAGCTCCTCCTCAAGATAATGAAATGAATTCCATGTTGAAACAAGTTTTAAAAGGCCAAACTAAGGATTATATGGATTTTGGTAAGAGGTGTGTCGATATGCGCAACAAGATAGATGAGATGTACAATGCTCTTAATGGTAAGATCACTAGCTTGGCTTCTCAACATGAAGATATGAAGAGTAAGAAAGTGACTAGAGACTTGACTTATCAACATGAAGAGATCAAAGTTGTTAATGTAAGGAATAAAGAGACCATAAAGCTTGATAAAAACATCATGGATGGTGAGTGTCTAGCCTCTTTAGTTGATGAGTTTAAAGACAATGGTGAAGAGGAGTATTTAGGTAAAGCTAAAAGATGCCTAGAAGCCAACAAGAGGAAGAAGAAACAAACCCACCCTCCCAACTTTGTTCCTTCCTCTAACACCATGAGCTTGCATCCCTTGAAGCTAATAGATGGAAAAATTGAGTATAAGGTGAAGTGTAATGGTTCTTCTTCCTTTTGCAAGTGTCAAAGCAAGAATCCAACCCGAACTCCAAAACGACCAAGATAGACTTCAAGAGTTCCTCTCAAGGGTCATCACCATCAACCTCAATGGTGTAACACGGTCCAACCATTCCAATCTCCACACTCTTTCAACCCCTCCAACTAGCCTACCAAGGAGTTCCACTCCTCTTCTCACTCTCCTCCCTAAGGTTCACAACTAGGGCCAAGGTATGGCTTCACCTTTCATTGTATATACCGTTTTAAGTCTTATTTTAATTTCTTTTTTGTTAGTCTCTTCCTCATCCTTTTATCACACCGAGACGGTGTGAATTAAGTTTGGGGGAGGGACTAGGTATCTAATGATGTGTTTTGTTTTGTTTTTCATTCTCTTGAGTCTTGCATTTGTAAATAGCTATGTTTTGAGAAAAATCAAAAAAAATTAAAAAAATTTTAAAAATCCAAAAAAAAAAAAATGCATGTAGTTTTGCACTTTCATTTTTATTTCTAGAATTGAGTCTAGTAGCATGTAGATTGCATTTTCATATGCATTGGGGATGATGATTAAAATGCCTTGTAGAAATTCAACCTTAGGATTGAATCTTAAAGCCCTCGATCATGGTTCATTGTTGCTTGATCATCTTGGAAAGAAATGAAAATTCATGCTTAGGCCTTTGTATTCTTTGAAAGCAATCTCTTCTTGTGTGAAACTTACATGATCTTTGAAGCATCTCTATGTATTTGGACTTAATTTGAATCTAATTTTCTCGCTTATGGATTTTGAATGCATTCTCATGGTAAATTCTTCTTAATCGAATCATATACCCTTTCACCACTCTCTTGAATGATTCGAAAGTCCCTTTACCCTTAACCTTGACCTTTCTTTTCATCCCATGAAATGATTTGTGAGTGAGGCCTCTTCTTGATAATGTTATAGATTGTGAAATCTTGAGAGAATCGAGAACGACAAGGTATTAGCTCTTGTTTTAGCTAGTATTTGGAAATTTTTGAGCTAGCTATTAGGAAGGGAATGAAAGAGTTAGGTGGTTAGATTGTACATTTGGGTTGGGTTTGTGAGAAAGAAGAAGAAAAAAAGGTTGGAATAAGAAGTGAAAAGCTTGATCATTGAATTTAAAAGGAGTCCCTAGGGAATTAAAGTTATAAGAAAGGAAGCTCTAGACCTAAGTAAAAGAAAGAATTGGGTAAGATAGTCTTCAAAAAGGGAAAAGATTTGCAAAGGTTGACAAAGAAAGTGGGATTAAATAAGAGCTTAGTGTTTTAAGAAAGGTTTCCCTAGGCGGCTAATGAAAAATAAGGTTTTGATCATGAGGGTTGTGTTTTGATAAGAAAAGAGACCAAAAGTGTCCAATGGGTGTGGTTTGAAAAGAAAAGGAAAAATGTTTGCAAAGGGTAGAAATTAGGATCCTATATCTAAGATGGGTAGAACAACAAGAGCTAATCTTTGTATGCATAAATTGTTCTTGGTCTTAGATGGATTTCATGATTGTCTAGCATTCCTTTCATTTGAGAGTTAGTCACCCAAAGATACAAACAAACAAAGCCACCTCAAAAAGCCTTTACCCTAAACCGATTGAGATTGATTCACTTACCATTTGCGAGACCGCGCCAAACACTTTAATGAATGTTAAAGAGATGTTTCAACTTGATTGAGAGTCTTTGCTAATGGAATGAGAATGAACTAGAAGATTGCATTAACTTAGGCATGAGAAAATATTTGAGAGTACGATGATTGATTTATGCACCGTTGAACTATCTTCGAGGACTTTAGTTTGAATCCTTTGCTTGATATTTTGTGTTTATGAATCCCCGTCTTCAAACCTCTCTTTCGACTTATCTTTTAATCCTTGCAAGAGGACTAGCAAGAGATAAGTTTGGGGGAGTTGATGTCTATGGTTTTAATGGTTTTTGAGCTTTGTTTCTAGGATAGTTTTATGCATTTCTCATCTTATTTAGTGTGTTTAGGTTGCATTTTTGCATTTGTTGAGTTTTATTAGGTACTTGGAGTTTTAAGGAGTTCATGGAGCACAAATGGAGTAAAAGATCGAGTTTTGGAGTCAAAATTGGATCAACCATGGTTGAAGAACAAGAGAAGGAAAGGAAGAGAATGACAACCGACCAAGCGGTCGGTTAGGAGGTCGGTTGAGTCGATCCCGAGAGCTTATGTCCGAGATCAACCGACCGATCAACCGATCGGTTGAGTTTCCATCACAGGACAACTGACCGTTCGCTCGGTTGAGAGGTCGGTTGCCACATACCCGAGAGCTTCTGTCCGAGATCAACCGACCGATCAACCGATCGGTTGAGTTTCCATCACATGACAACCGACCGTTCGCTCGGTTGAGAGGTCGGTTGCCACATACCCGAGAGCATCTGTCCAAGAGCAATCGACCGATCAACCGATCGGTTGGGTTCAGCGAGTCAACCGACCGACCGGTCGATTGGTAGGTCGGCTGAAGGTTATAAAATTGCAAAAATCCAGTTTGTCCCGGTTATCTCCGGTTTGTTTCGGTTTAATGTCATGTTTTCTATAAATACTCTAATCCCAATTGGGAATGGGGGATGCTATGTTTTAAGAATTTTTCTTGGATTTTGTATTTGAATCTTCAAGTTTTAATATAAGTATTTCTTGCTTTTCTTAATCTACAATCTCTAATCATGATTTCACAAAGATCAAACAAATTACTTTGTGCTTTCATGACCATGAGTGAGTAGTCATTTTGAATCTTTGGGTTAGGTAGATTAGGAGAATTTTGGAGTTGAGTTATGGAGTTTAGGATTAGATTGTCCAAGATCCTTGCTTATTGGTTGCTAATAAGGCTAAATCAACTTTGTTAATGTTGATTTATAGCTTAGGAATTTCATGCCCGTAAGGTGTTCGATGAAATTCCCGAACCAAAACTTTTAAGTGCTTTACACTCCTTGCCATTTGAAAATGTTGATTAGGATGTTTAGTGGCTAGATAGACTTGTTATTAATGCTTGTTGATCATTTAATTGCCTTTGGAAGAAGTTGATGATTATTTGATTAGTAAAGTGATTATTGTCATGGAAATGGATTAGTCTAGTTTAGTGTCTATGGCCTAAGGATTAATGCTTGTTTGAAGTTGTTAGCTCCATAATCAGCTTCTTTATCGCTCCTAGTCAATTACCTTAACCCGAGGATTCATCTTTAATTATTGCTTAGTAATTGTCTTTTCTTGCTTTGTTTCAATTCGAATCTTGTTAGTCTTTTGATTATTGCTTTCTTTCATCTTGTTTTGCATTGCTTGCTTTAAATTGCATTGTTAGTTACATTTAGAAATCAAAACTCATCTCTTATTAAGCTAGATTAAACAAATTTGTGTATTCTTGGTGTGTTAATTAATTGCTCCTTGAGGTTCGATAATTTAATTGATCGGGTAAAAATTGCTACATCAGATTCTTCAGAGGTTTCAGACGGATCTTCACAACCTCGGCAACTCACGACAGATGATTATACTGCCATATTTCTTCAGGTAAAGCACCTTTCTGAAACTATACACATTTTGAGAGTCTTGGATGAATCTGTTTTGCCTTACTCTATAATGTTTTCCATTCTCCTTTCTTTCACAGTCCACTGAGAAGGATTCCCAAGGTAATTACTATGGAGTTGGCAGCCTCAAAGACAATCTTGGATTTCTTGGCAAGCGCAAGTGACCACACCAGTCTCCTCATTCATGGCAATGCAAGAGCAGGTATAGGAAGCTCAACGCAAGATCGAGGAGCATGCTACTCTTAATGCTCAGGCTGCTGCCAGAGATGCTAACATATCCCAAGTTGTATCTGAGCAAAAGGAGAAGATCAACAAGCTGGAGAAGTTCCTGCGCCAGTCTAATCCGGCATACGCGGATTTCTTGGAGACTGAATCAGCTGAGCCAACAAGCACGGATCCTCTCACAACCAATCTACCTGCAACAGCTCCACAATCAACTTCACCATCAACTTCTTAGGTTACTAATCCATCACTTTTTGTTTCTTAACTCATGAACTTGTCAGTTTCCAGTTTCTGTATCTTAGATGACTTGTGTTTTATGACTTTTGCTATATGACCTATTTCCCCCTGAGAACTAACGTATCAACCTAGATAGAGCCCGAACTTAGACCCTATTTCCCCCTGAGAACTAACGTATCAACCCAGATAGAGCCCGAACTTAGACCCCAATGTAGATATCCCCGAAAAAAATGTTCAAATCCTATTTGCCCCCGAAATAAATGTTCTAAACCTAATTCCCCCCGAAACCAAAGTTCAAGATCTAATTATCCCCAACTCTTAGTTTCTATTGGTTTATTGTTTATTTAACCAAACCAAACTTGTTTTAACTTGATTAAGTTTCGAAATTCCCATTAGAATCCATCTCCAAATCCCCAAATTTCTCAGTCCCTAACTTTGGATTAAGCTATTGTGATGATTTGTGACATAAATTTTGAGATTTTCAAAGCTTAATCAGGTTTAGATGGTTAAATAAATAGTAAACCAGTGAAAACCCAGAATTGGGGAGAACTAGATCTCAAACTTTGATTTCAGGGAGAATTAGGTTTAGAACTTTTTTTTCGGGGAGAAATAGGATTCGAACTTTGTTTTCGGGGATATCTGCATCGAAGTAAAAGTTTGGGCTCTATTTGGATTGATACGTTAGTTCTTAGGGGGAAATAGATCGTTTTACCATTATATATGTGATTTCTCCTATTTTGTGAATTATATGTCGATTTTTGTGTGAAAATTTCCTGTACTATTTCTATCAAAAAAAAATTTGGTGGGAAACCTTTTGTCAGATTTGTTTTAGCGAAAAATATTTAGGCGGGAAATTTTTTGACGGTAATGTTTCTGGAAGGAAAAGGAAGGAATAGGGGTTTCAAATGAAAATATGAAATAATAAATTCCAATAAAAATATGTAAGTTTTTATTGGCTTATTTTTAATTTTATGGTTTACCCTAAACCCTAAACCCTAAACCCCAAACCCCAAACCCTAAAGTGCTTTGCCATTCTAGGGCTGATGGGCAGGGATTAAAGCAGGTGGTGGGCGCTTCTCTTCTATGGTGGTGTACGGCATGGTGGGATCTATCGTTCGATGTGAGACGATATCTTTCTTTCACAGCGACCTGATATGATGTTCCTGCGATCTGCTGGTTAAAGGCTATGGCGGATTTCTCTTGGCTAGGAGGCTTGTGAGAGGTAGATCTATCTTGCGTGGAAGTTGAGCTCCAGACCGGTGGGTTCACCACTTTCTGAACATATTAACAGTAGATCTGTGACCAGATCTGATGGCTAGTCACCGGTATCCTTAACTGGATTTTGATGGTAGATGGCGTTCTTGAACTAGCGTCCATCCTCAACCACTGTGATTTGTTTTCTGTTCGCCAGATTGGAAGGGAGGTTACGTTGGATTAGAGGGTTTGTTGCGAGGTTTCTTTTTGCTAGGTTGGGGAGAAGAAGCTATTGGATCTCTGGTTGTGGCGGATCTTCCTTTTCCAAAAGGAAAGTTCCGGGTTGGGTTTGATCTCAGTGACCATTTGCGGCGGGGTTTGCGAGCTCTAGCCTAAGAATTGATCTCAAGTCTTAATCATAAAAAAGTCATCTTTCCTAGCGTCGGATTTAGCAGGTAAATTGTGGTTCCGGTGTACTGCCCGTTTTTAGATCTCTTTTCGAGCAGTCTCCTTTTTAAGCATGTAATATATGTGATTTCTCCTATTTTTAAAATTATTGGTCGAGTTTTGTGTCAAAATTTCCCGTAGTATTTCTGTAAAAAAAATTTAGCGGGAAAACTTTTGTAGGAATTTTTCTTGGCGGAAAATATTTTGGAAAATAACTTTATGTCAAAAAATTTTGGTGGGAAATTTTTTGGAAAGACTAGGGGTTTAATATGAAAATATGAAATTTTTTGGAAAAATAGGGGTTAAATATGAACATATGAAATTATAAATTCCGTTAATCATATCAAATATTTTGGTTGGCTTATTTTTAAGTTTTTAGCTTACCCAAAACCCTAAACCCAAACCCCAAACCCTAAACCCTAAAGAGCTTTGCCGTTCTAGGGCTGATAGGCAAGGATTAAACCAGGTGGTGGGCGCGTCTCTTCATTGTTGGTGTAAGGCGTGGTTTGATCTGTCGTTCGATGCCTGACGATTTCTCTCTTCCACGGCGACCTGAGATGATGTTCCTGCGATCTGCTGGTTAAAGACTATGGCGGATCTGAATCGTAAATCTCTTGGCTAAGTGGTTTATGAGCGGTAGATCTGTCTTACGATAGAAGTTGAGCTTTAGACCGGTTGGATCACCACATTGCGAATAAGTTAACGGTTAATCAGATCCTTGATGGCTAGTCACGGGTATCCTTAACCGGATTTTGATTGTTGATGGCTTTCTTGAGCTGGTGTCCATCCTCCACCGCCGTGATTGGTTTTCTGTTCGCAGGATCGGAAGGGAAGTTTCTTTGGAAGTAAAGGTAAGTGTTAAACGTTGGATCAGAGGGTTTGTTGCGAGGCTTCTTTTTGCTAGGGCGTGGAGAAGAAGCTATTGGATCTCTGGTTGTGGCGGATATTCCTTTTCCAAAAGGAAAGTTCTGGGTTGGGTTTTATCTCAGTGACCATTTGCGGCGGGGTTTGCGAGCTCCAACCTAAGAATTGATGTGAAGTCTAAGTCACAAACGAGTCATCCTTCCTAGCGTCGGATTTAGCAGGTAAATTGTCTTTATGGTGTACTGCCCGTTTTCTGATCTCTTTTCCAGAAGTCTCTTTTATTATTCCTGTAATATATTTGATTTCTCCTATTTTTAAAATTAGATGTCAGTTTTTGTGGCAAAATATCCCGTAATATTTCTTTAAAAAACAATTTGAGCAGGAAAATTTTGTCGGAATTTTTCTCGGCGGAAAATATTTTTGCAGAAAAACTTTTGGGCGGGAAACTTTTTGTCAGAAAATCTTGGCGGAAAAATTTTTGACGGAAAAATGTTTTGGCAGGAAATTTTTTGGAAAGAATAGGGGTTTAATATGAACATATCAAATTATAACTTCCATTAATAATATCAATTTTTTTGAATGGCTTATTTTTAAGTTTATGGCTTACCCCAAACCTTAAACCCAAACCCTAAACCCTAAACCCTTAACCCTAAACCCCAAACCCTAAACCCCAAACCCTAAAGAGCTTTACAATTCTAGGGCTGATGGGGAGGGATAAAAGAAGGTGGTGGGCGGTTCTCTTCTACGGCGGTGTAAGGCGTGGTTTGATATGTCTTTCGATGCTAAACGATTTCTCTATTTCACGGCGACTTGAGATGATTTTCTTGCGATCTGCTGGTTAAAGGCTATGGCGGATTTGAATTGTATATCTCTTTGCTAAGTGGCTTGTGAGAGGTAGATCAGTCTTACAGTGAAAGTTAAGCTTTAGACCGGTTGGATCACAACTTTGCGAACAGGTTAACAGTTGATCTGTGACCTGATCCTTGATGGCTAGTCACGGGTATCCTTAACCGAATTTTGATGGTTGATGGCTTGCTTGAGCTAGTGTCCATCCTCCACCGCGTGGTTGGTTTTCTATTCGCCGGATCGGAAGGGAGTTTGCTTTGAAAGTAGAGGTAAGTGTTATACGTTGGATGAGAGGGTTTGTTGCGAGGCTTCTTTTTGCTTGGTCAGGGAGAAGAAGCTATTGGATCTCTGGTTGTGGCGGATCTTCCTTTTCCAAAAGGAAAGTTCCGGGTTGGGTTTGATCTCAGTGACCTTTTGCGGCGGGGTTTGCTAGCTCTAGCCTAAGAATTGTTGTGAACTCTTAGTCACAAACGAGTCATCCTTCGTAGCGTCGGATTTAGCAGGTAAATTGTGTTTCCGGTGATTGTGTTTCCGGTGTACGGTCCGTTCTCTGATCTCTTTTCTACCAGTCTCCTTTTTCTTCCTGTAATATATGTGATTTCTCATATTTTTTAAATTTAATGTCTATTTTTCTGTCAAAATGTCCTGTTATATATCTGTAAAAAAACTTCGGATGGAAATCTTCTGTCGGAATTTTTCTAAGCGGAAAATATTTTGCCAGGAAAACTTTTGGACGGAAAACTTTTTGACAGAAAATTTTGGCGGGAAAATTATTTACGGATATTTTTTTGTCGCGAAATTTTTTGGAAAGACTAGGGGTTTCTTATGAAAATAAGAAATTATAAATTCCATTAATAATATCAAATTTTTTGATTGGCTTTTTTTAAAGTTTTTGGCTTACCTAAACCTTAAACCCTAAACCCTAAACCCTAAACCCTTAACCCTTAACCCTTAACCCTTAACGGTAAACCCTAAACCCTATACCCTAAACCCCAAACTCCAAATCCCAAATCCTAAACCCTAAAGTGGTTTGCCATTCTTGGACTGATGGGCAGGGATTAAACCAGGTGGTGGGCGCTTCTCTTCTATAACTTCCATTGATAATATCAATTTTTTTGAATGGCTGATTTTTAAGTTTATGGTTTACCCGAAACCTTAAACCCAAACCCTAAACCCTAAACCCCAAACTCTAAACCCCAAACCCTTAACCCTAAACCCTAAACCCCAAACCCAAAACCCCAAACCCTAAAGAGCTTTGGCATTCTAGGGCTGATGGGGAGGGATTAAAGAAGGTGGTGGGCGCTTCTCTTCTACGGCGGTGTAAGGCGTGGTTTGATATGTCGTTCGATGCCAAACGATTTCTCTATTTCACGGCGACCTGAGATGATTTTCCTGTGATCTGCTGGTTAAAGGCTATGGCGGATCTGAATTGTATATCTCTTGGCTAAGTGGCTTGTGAGCGGTAGATCAGTTTTACGGTGGAAGTTAAGCTTTAGACCGGTTGG